TACATAAATGTGTCACCAACGTTACGAGTAAATGAATAAAATTAAAAATAACGACCAATAACAAGAAGAAAACGAAACTGGCAGTTAAAATTTAAGAAAAAGCAGGTTCCACGTCCCAGGAAAAATGATTCCCGAATTTTCCAGCATGAAAAATCTAACATCTTCGGCGCTAGTAGCTTGCATACAGAACGAGCCACGTGCTCAGGTACGGGACACTTGAATTCCTCGAGAAAAACAAACGGCAGAGACGCGTTCGCCGCACGAGTGCGTGATAATGACGTCGTTAGTCATGCAACGCGTTGACAATTGGCCGTTCAGAAGTCTGGAGACTCATGGTCGAATAGTGTGTCTCTATCCGCAATTACCGGTACCTTTGTGATTCAAAACGAGACGAACAAATCGATCATTTCACGAACGGTATCGGGTCTTGTGCCAAGCGGTGCGTTGAAAAGTGAGAAAATGCGAATAGAGAAAAACAGCTATACACTTTGTTTCGCCCGTGGAGAAAAATGCGATCGATATAATTTCCACAAGTTTTAATTGAAATTGTTCAGCTTGTGAATAAAAGCAGAAAAAGAGAGAGATACGATCGATAGGGCAAATTTTCTGATTAAACGAAAAGGTGGTTCTCTGTGCATCTTTATTGGAGATGTTTGTTTTCAGAGGAAATGAATGTTAGCGAATAACGATCGATATAATGATAAATTTGTATGAAGGAATATCATGGAGGAATTTAAAAATGCTACTTTAATTTGAAATTTGGCTTAATTTCAATAGCACTGGGAAGATAATAGTGAAATTCGCCTGTGGGATTTAATTTGTTAAAAGGGTTAATGGAAGAAGAGTCGCGTTGGATCTAAGCACTCAATTTCCCTTTCAAATGTGCATAAATAATAAAAAATAATAAAAATTTTAAAAATTCATCTATAACTGCTAATGGATGGTGAGTCACGTTGGAAATTATGCATACTCGATTAAAAAATAATTCATCTGTTAAATTTACTTTTCTTAAATTGCTAATAGAGGAACAGTCATTAGTCGTTACATTTTTTCTATCAATCAGACAAGCAAAAGATCAATTTTCCCTAATCAATATTCCTCCACGACCCACAGATAAAAATCGTGCCAGATTTTACAGACAATTTGTCGGTCGCTCCAGCAAGAAAGAAGAAAACGATCGATACAGAGGCTGCCTCTATTACACAGCTCCGAACTTAGCCGAATCTCGATGTATATCGTTCTCCCAATGAAGTAAAAAAAGATTCGATATATAACATTGACCCCGTTCACTTGTCCCTCGGCAAACTCTATCGCTACTTCATACGTTATCAGATAACAAAAGAAGCAGAAGAAGAAACTTTTGCATCGAAAAATAAACCACTAATACAGAAAAATAAAATTCATTCCTTGTCGATAAAACGAAATCTAACATGAAACGAACTAAAAAAAAAAAAATGAGGACAAATGTTCCAGTAAATACAAAAATATACTAACTTAAATAGAAACTTTGGTTCACCACAAAAATAAAAAAAAAAATGTTCGTCATCTTCAGCGATGATTTTATTACGTTTCAATAACCTTTGACGCCTCCAAGCGACAAGATTACGCGTGTATCGCGGGCAGTAAAGTCGGTAACAGTTCGTGCGCGACGAAAAGGAACGATCCCTCCTGTGGATCGTCGTAAATCTCGCCGGAATAGAGACCGCACGCGTCCTTATTTCGCACTCGTAACACGCGTGGCCGGAGACGCGAGGCGTCGTAAAAGATCGCCGGTTTACAATCGTGCTTGTCCTTCGACGCAGCTCCAACTGGAGTAATTAGACGGACGTTACATCGACGCACGGGGTGTACGTAACCATCTACGTTTAATTGCGCGTCTCTACCTGCGGCGAATTCGTATTTGCAGCTCGTTAGCCAGTCTAGCAGTTCAAATTAACTGACCCCTTTAATTAATCGTTGACGCCAGATGGTGATCGTGTCAAGATTATTCACTTTTCGAGAGAAAGATACGTTGTTTTTTGATTTTTGAAAGTGGAGGATTGAAGGAATTTCTTGGCTCTTTAAACCTTTCGCTGCGGCAAAATTAAACGTTTCATGTTCTGGCAATCTTTTATTTGCGAAGTGAGAAAATAAATTGGGAAATTTGGCGAAAGGGTGAATCGTTTGTGTTCATTTTTTTGTACGATGAAGTATAGGACATTTGAATCGTGAATCTCTCCGCGATAAATTTGCGGAGAACAAATTTGCAAATTCTGAGTGAAAATTTTGAAATGTAATAGAGAAAAGAGTTATTCAATTTTTAAATGGCTTATGAGTCGTCCTTTATTATTCTTCATAACTTTCCGACTTCGTTTCCTTCATTTTTACGTAAAAGTATTCACATAGAAATTGACAATTTTCCCGCAAAAATTGCAAGAATTTTCACACAAAAGTTCCCCGTTAAAAGACTGCTAATCGGTCCTTTCGATCCTTGCAATACCTCCACAGTTAAATCGTTCCTGTAAACGTGCATACGTCGGTCCAAGATAGAAATCTACCTCGCGAAAGCGTGCGAATTCGATTGGAATCTCGATACAGCCCCGGTAAATTGAAAAGAATCCCAACGGGTTCTCGAAGCGGGGAGGGTGGCGAAAATTTCGCGCGATTCCATTATCGAATAATTTATCCGCAGTTACTCGAGATGAAGCTGTCGGCCCTCTGTACGAAACCGGAATCGCGATACGCTCGATGCATCGAGCGTGAACAGAGCGGCCGCGGAGAGAGAGAGCCACGAAAGGGATCGATTCCGTACACGCCAAGGGAGAAAACCCCTCTCTACCACCCCGTTTCCGCGGCCTCCACAAGCCTCGAGTGGGGACTCTGGAAAGCGGAGGCCCTGCAACGACAAATCGACGCCGAACGAATCGCTCGCACCCTGCCGCCCCTTTAATCGCCTTCGATCCAATTTTCGTGTTTTCTCGCTTCCACCCCGCCGCTGCACAACGATCACGCATGATCAATACCCGAGAGATCGATAACTTCACCGGCTTTCTTTCCTACTACCCTGTATAACGATTGCACGTCCAACGCTATGTTTTCCAAGTAAATTTCGCTATCCGGACAATTGAAAAATATGACAGGAACGAGAGAAAGAAATGTTGTCCGAACGATTTCCAAGCCATTAGCGCTCCACGACGTTAAACGCTCTCCCGTAGAGAAATCGATTAGTCCGATACAACACACACTGTACTCTTCCATAACTCGAAACCTTCAGCCTCTACAATTCTAAAAATTTCTCTGTACAAAGATGTCCCGTTTGCACTCGCGAATCACCCTACAAATCCACGATAGCGACCTTTAGACCCCGGTACGTTGCGAACGAGATAGCGACCCTTAAACCGTGATACATCGGGAACGAGATAGCGACCCTTAAACCGCGATACATCGCGAACGAAATAGCAACCAACGAACTCAGCGAATGTACTCTCGAACTTTGCGGTACTCACGAACAAAGATGTTGCTCATCAAGGTAGCAGGTAGGCAGAACACGATGACAAGCACGTCGGCTACAGCGAGATTGACGATGAAGAAGTTCGTGACGGTCCTCATCCTCGGCGACCGGTAAACCACGGCGATGACGAAACTGTTCCCAATCAGGCCAACGACAAAGACCAGTACATAGGCGACACAGTAGACAGCCGACATAGCCATGCTATGCCTGTACAAACGATCTGGTAACTGTTCGGCGGTGGACAAATTCCCATTTTTACTCGCGTTCAACAGCCCACTGTGCTCCTCCATCGACGTTCTCGGATTCGTCGTGATCGCCTCTGTTATCAGATTGCTCAGATAATCGCCCAGGTCGTTTCTCATCTGTAACAGCGTACCGGTGGCCGGTGGAACGGCCGAGACGGTCGTAGAAGGGACATTGCCGCTGTTGCTCCTACGACGCGTGTCGGCGTCGAACTCCTCCGAGTCTGGCAGACGCAGTGAGGCCATCTCCAACAGCGGAGACGGTGGCTGCAGCATCGGTAACTTGATCGTGTAGCGTTGGATCGACGTTGTTTCGACCATTAGCCGAGTTAGACAGTTCCCGGCAACGTACCAGTCCTCTTACTTCCCGTTCCTCTGCTCCGACGGCGTCGCGTCGCCGTGTCGACGACCCCGGCCCGCTCGAGTCCCGCCTTCAACCGAGCTACTGCAACGTTCACCTGATCGATCCTCGTACCTGGATCCTTGTCTTCTTCCTCTTCGATGCTTGGCTAGTGAATTTGATCTTTGGTTACGTACGATCTACCCTAGACACCCGATCATTTGGATCATCGATGAACAGAGAGAGTGAGACAGAGAGGGGTTGGTTCCAAGAAGATGTGATCACACGAACCGGACGGAGGTCATTGCCGTGGCACGCGGAAATGTCACGATTATCTTTGTCGAAGGCGTGTGTTCGATGAAAGGACGAGAGGAGAGAGCGCGTGGCTGGATCGAGTTCGACGCTCCTCGAGAAAGAGAGAGAGTCAACTGGCACGTGCACAGGAGCCCATCGAGCTTGGTTGCATCCCCTCGCGGGAAGACTGCGACGATATCGAACCGCGGCGGGTGAACTGACAACTGTTTCGATCCGGTAGAAAAAACTTGTGTTTCTTTTGTCTGGCTCGACTGATTAGAAGTGGAAGAGGCGCGATAAGACAGGTTGAAATGTGGAGGCGGGAGAAGTGGAGGGAATGTGTGTTAGAGATAGCAGGTGTTTGATAGAACGGGGACACAAGGTGTTGTGTTCGAGCGTGATCGACGAAAAGGTGTCCCGGCCGAATGCTGAGAGACTAATGAGCTTGGTTTAGAAGACGACTGCGAACTGCCGCGAGATGCACCCGTAGCGGCGAGCTGTCTGGCGACTCGCCAACACTGCGCAAGCGTTACCATCCACCGGCACATGCACCCGCATGCGAGCTACGATCATCGTAGCGGCGTATAGTTCGAGGCAGGGGAATAGGAAGATCCGCGCCGGGTGGAGTGCTCTTCGAAGAGAAAATAAAAAAGTGTATACCCTGGGTCGTTTTGGCAAATTTTTAGAATCGAGTAAAAAGACGATTTGCATATGTCGTTTGAAAATTAACCCTTTTGTAACACCGTGTCACTTCAAAATTACAGTCTCGGAAGTTGAAGCATTGAATATGATGCAGAAAAGTTGTTAGAATAGAAAGATAGCTTGAAAATTAACCCTTTGTAAGATCGTGTGACGTGGAAATTATAGTCGATGGAAGAAATGTAGCGAGGTTGTGGATTAAAGCATTAAGTGATAAGATAAAACATTGAAAAAAGAAAACGTTTCTGTTGACAAATTGACAAACACTTTTTTTTTCGAAATACAGTTATTGCTAGCTCAAAATAAATTTTCAAAGAAATGGTACTTTTTGAACTGCTATTTGGAGTGTCATCTTTCTTTACGTATGTAGGTAATTGTAACTAAAAAAATGTCCGTGTGTTGTTTATATATGCCACTACCATTGACAAGAAAATTTTTTCGAAAAACAGTTATTGTTAGTTCCTAACAAATTTTTCAAGAAAATGGTACTTTTTGCACAGACCAAAGTGGTTACTGTAACTAACAAGGGAGTATCTCGAAGAGATAATCACCGATTTTGACGAAACTTTGGCATATGGTAGTTCTCAAAAAAATATTCGACACGTATTTTTTTATATTGACAATAAAATGCAGTAAAGGGATGAAAGTCGCCCTCGAAATTCTGAGATAGTAAATATATCTCGAAAATCATCAGAGATAGAGAATGGACAAATTTCATATTTTTCAACAACAATTTCGAAGAAAGATAAATAATAAATAATTTTCACCAAATATGTTTATTACTCTCATCTTTGTGACGATTTTCACCTTTCAACATAAACGATTGCCTATAAAAAGGAATATTTTTTGAGATCCACTATTCGCCTGTAAAATGTACTTCACCGTTACTTTATTTTCCAAAATGAAACCTACTATTTAACGACTCACCATACCAGAGAAAATCAGGAAATCCAAGGAAGTTAAAGACTAGAGCAAATATGAAAAATAAAAGCATCAACGGTGTAATAAATAGAAACGCGTGTTTACCAACACGCAATGTCCACTTTTAAAAAGTCGTCCCTTCGATAATCTCAGCCGCCACTTAGCCGCAGCGTCGCGACGCTGCCTATTCTTCGAAACTTCACCTCCCAAACACGACAGTTGCTAACAGTTAACAGTTCCCTGGCTCTCGCACTTTTTACACACTTCTCGCCACGTTTCCAATGCTTACACGCTCGACGATATTTCTTACGAGCACTTTATTAAAATAGAACTGCCACGAAAACTCGTCCAATAAGCGTTCCTCTTTGTTCTTTTCCCGTTCGACTTCTAGCCGTGATCGGAGATTCTGCGTCACCGGAATAATGGAAAATATCGACGAGAGGTAAGCACGAGGGAAAGAATGTAGATTAGAAACGACGAAAGATTTCCGCCGATTGCCAAACGTTTTTCCTCGTGAACGCCCACTATGAACCGGTAATTCGGCACCGAAACAGCAACTTCGCTCGAGTTGCCGAATTTTCTTCGAGAGATTGAGATTGAATTAAGATTTTCTGCTAATAATCAACGTTCCACTGTTCGAATTTTTTTTTTTTTAAGAAGACAAATCGGTGAATATTGGGATTTTCATTTGGTAGGAAAGATTGTAGGATAACGTTTCTGTGAGATTTTTCGTGGGACAGTTGCTTTGCAAATATGAATCAGTTTCGTATTCATGGGAGAAGAAGAATTGGTCGGGAAATGAAATTACCGATTTAACCACTCTTTATGAAGAGGAATAGGCGTGTTTGATACGAAAAATGTAGAATATCGTGAGAGAGAAGAAAGTATTGGAAGAAATTGCGAAGAATTGGAAGAAATACGGAAAAGCCTCAGAATGAAATATAAAAATTTGTATTACCTGTACATAGTAAGTTTTTACTTTGCAATCATTTTCTCGTTAAAAAAATTGAATAAGAATAATTCTCTCAAAATTAAAATTCAATTTTTCTTAAAAAATTTAAGAGGAGTAATTTTCCTAAAATTCAGATTCAATTTTCTTAAAAAATGTAATATGAATAATTCTCTTAAAATTAAGATTTAACTTTCTTCAAAAATTTAAGAGGAATCATTTAACTTTCTTAGAGGAACAATTTTCTCGGTTTGATAAAAATTCTATTTTTCAATAATTGTTCACCGCTGGTCCACGTGGCAGAAAACGCGTTAAGAATCGTTCCACGTTGGCTCCTGACGTTTCTGAAAGATGAAACGCGGACGAAGAAGCGACGAGTGATTCGGGTTTTCGATTCTTAGAAGTGCTCGACTCCCGTCAAACTTCCGGGCGAGTTCCTAATTCGTTTTGTACAACCCATCGCGGATGCCTAACTCGTTTTATTTGAGTCTCAAGCTCGGAAAGATTTCGTTATAGTTTGACCTCCGGCGTCCGTGAAATATCTTCGCTTCCTCTCGTTTCTCCCAAGCAACTTATTCCTCCTACGCGTTTCGCGGGACACTTTGAAACGTGATCTTCGTTTCGCTTATTTAGCTTAATAATAATCATATTTTTATTCATTCTCGTTAATTTCGTTCAATTTTCGACTGAAATGTCGAAGAGTAAATTTTATTTAAAAGAGTTATTGAGTAAAATTAAATTTTCTTTGATTTGAAGATTTGTTGTTTTACCGCAAGCAAGCATCGAGTATCAAGTTCGAAGTTAGTGGTAAATTATGAAAGGACTATTATACTAATTTTCCTCCACTGGTAAGTTTCGTATCTACCATTGCCCTAACATTACCTCTAATATATCCCCTGAACCTCAACTCACTATTATCTTACCACCACTTGTATCTATTGCCACTTTCAAATAGGGCAATCGATAATAACATTTTTCGAATTTTTCATAAACTAAAATAAACAATTTATTTGAAATTTTATCTTCACTTCTTTCGTTCATTTTCGTATACCCACAAGGGAACTTCGGTAACCCGAAATGTCCGATTTTTGTTAAACTTCGTGGGTTTGTAGGGGACCACGAGAGAAGTATCGGGCAATTTTTTTTTTGGCCCAATTTCGGTTCTTCGGGGTGAAAACAGCCCTTGAATGAAGATAAGTGTTACCTTATTTCCCTGTATATCTTTGAAACTATAGTAGATATAAAAAAATGTTCATAATAAAAATTTAATGGCTTTTTATGCCTTATAAGACTGTGCTATTAAATTAATAAAAATTCTTTTCTTAACTAAAAAATCTTCCACTACCGTTTCCAGAAATTTTCAATTTTCTATCATATCGAAAAATATGTCAAATAAACGCACAGCAAGTGGCTCCATATTTACATCATTAAAAATCGTCGCTGTGCCTGTAATAAGCACTATGTAAAATTTTTCAATAGAAATTCTCTGTTTCACAAGAAGTAATTTATTTTACTTTGTGAAAGTGCATGTTTCTACAAAACTCGTAAATATTGGGGCGCCTTAGGTCAAGTTTCCAACAAAATAGCCTGCGCTTCAAGTGTCAACTAAAGAAATACGCTCAAAATATTCACTTTCCAGTAGATCCTCGAAAAACTCCAATCCTCCCTTATCATTGCTAAAATCTATATTCAAGCCCACTATACCTCTTTCCATCCCCTTGAAAATTAACTAAAAAAATACGCCCCCAATATGCACTTTCCAATAAATCCCCCAAAAAACTCAAACCCTCCCTTCGTTCCACTCCACCTAGCCAGGGTCGAACGAAATCGAAAGTGAAACAAGTCCCAAGTATCAATAACCCCTCCAACTTTCCCAGCACACAGCCGACTTTCAACATTCCCAACACAACAACCCTCCAATTTGCATAATACACTTGCTCCGGGAAAAATCACCCCCGCGCACGTAAATCAGGAACTACTTATTATCCGATCATCCGAAACTCGGAACCGAACTACCCCTGTCCTTAACCGAATCGTCTCCGAGTTCCTCTGTAACCGGGTGGAGGGCCGATAAGAATGCGGAAGGAGCCACTCGTGGTCGCGAAACCCTCGAATCGA